GATACACTCACTAATTGGGTTTAAATACATTAAATTGTAGGGGCGGATGAAAGAATTGTCCACACAGAACTCAGAAGTCGATTTAGAGCAATTGACACATGATGAAATTGCATGCACAGTCCTTGAGAGAAAACCTGGATATAATACAGGATTTGAACATGGTCCGAAACCTTTATCCTCTAGTTAGTCATTAAGAACCACTACTGAGTCTTGAGAACAAGCTGATAAGATAAAAGAGTTGCAAGCAGTTGTTGATTCTCTTCGGAAGAAACGTGGTGAAACGAAGATGAAGCTAGAAAAAATTGATGACATGTAACAGCAGATGATGAAATAAATTTTGTAGATGCAACTTCAAATGCAACGTGGTCTGTAGTGCACCTCAATTGATGAAGGCATTCCATCTGAGTCTTAGTTAGTATCTTTTTACTATTGTATTACGTTCAGCACTTAAGAAGTAGAAAAACTAAAACTTGGAGTTAAGTGTGCCAATCAGCTCGTTTTCACTCTGTTTGTCGTGAAAGCGAACATAGAGCAACTATTTGGGCATAGAAACTTGAAAGAAAAGACGACTACTCGTTCTTGTAACGTCCCAAAATCCACTCTGAAAAGCATTACTATCTACAAACCATTCAACCATGAGAGCAACTAAAAATAACCATGAAATAATTAACCATTCATCCATTTGACAAGGAATAAATACTAAAACCAATAAAATATTGAAACTTCTCCATCTTATAATTCAAAATCAAGAATATCTAGTAGTGAAATAATAAAAATTAGCTAAAATATTGTTTCATAAAAATCTTTCAAACTCTAAACCAAAAATAGAACAACTCTATTCCTCTAACATAGGGTCCACGTCTTAATCCTCCAACGGCTTGTAATTAACCTTCTCTTCCACATCAGCATTCTTTTCTATGTCCAAATTTGTAAGTGTGTTGTAAGGGGTGAGCAAAAACCCGTAAGAAATTCCTCTCAAATCCAAACAATGTTTTAAAACAATGAAAAGAAGACAAGCCTCATTTTGGAAAATAGAATATATAAATTTTTTAGAATAAAATTATGACAGTTATAATGATCTCAAGTGTACAGAATACAATAAATCAATAAAAGGAATAAACATGTTATAAATTAAAGCATTCAGTAAATAACTCAGTAGCATCATCTCATATTTTTATGTATATTGGTTGCTTCTTAAGAATCTACACAACGATTCTACCTCGGTCACCCATCACAACCACATAATCTCAATCATTCCCCGTAGGGCCAAATCACAAACCACTTTAAAAATGGTGTATACCGTCTATCACGACATTAACGAATTTTTCCAAGAAAAAGTATATCATCCCTCAGCCTTGAACTTATGTGAACAATTGTGGTTGTTCTCACAAATAACAATCCACTATAAGTGTTAGGCAACCATCTCTCCCCCACCCAACTGGGATAGACTAACCTCTAACATTCTATAGAAGCTCTGGAAGACAATTCAAGTTCGTCACAACAAACCATACAAACTATAATATTCTTAACAACCACAATATTAACTAGTCACAATTTTCATTAACAATTCAAGCATCATAATTGCACAATTCTCAATATACTACAGAAATGAAGGAATTAAAATATTCAAGAGATTATTTTAAGAAAACCTTCACAATTTCGATATTCAAAATTCTAGGGTTTTGCCAAAAATCATAATTTCTTGGAACAAGAACAAGTATTAGATAAAAACATGATTTAATCTAGAATAGAAATTTAGAAATCAAGAATCCATATGACTTTCATAATAGAATATGTATTTTGGAAAAACTAGAGTTTTAAAAATTAAAGAACAAGTATTATTTGAACTCAAATGTGTATTTTGTTCAAAACTATATTTCAATGATAAAGAAACCAAGAACTCATAAATATTTATAATATAACTACCCAAAAAATTTAAAACATACATAGATAATACCCTAAGTCTCAATGAAAGAACTCAAGAAGAATATCCTACCTGGATTCCGTAGTTTGTGTATAAACCTAGCGTGTTTGATTTGTTTCCAACATGAGAATCCCCCTTCAATCTTATGTTTCTCTTCTTCCCTCTTGCTCTCTAAGGTTGCTTAGGGTTGAAAACTGTTGAAACATGGTAAAGGGACGTCCTTATGGTATTTATAAGGTAAAAAATGGAGAAAAACCCTAAAATTGATCGGGACCATTTTTAGTGTAGCGCCCGAACGGTCCTTGGGTGTCCAGACGGTTCAAATTCACTGTTTTTTATAAAAAATAAAATTTTTTGGGTAAGGAGTATTGTTTGAATGGTGCTTGGAGCGTCCGGACGGAGACAATTTTTTGTCCCAACTTCAGGAGTAGTTTTCACCTATTTAAAAGTCGATTCAGAAAAGTTTTATGAAATATACTTTTTTAGCCATTGAAGTCTAGTTGCTACTGTCCAAATAACAGCTCTATTGCAGTTCAGATTAAAAAGTTATGGCTAAAATACTAAGGTAGTGTCAAATTTTTTCTACCCGATTCCTTTCTAAATGCAGATTAACTCCGAAATACTTTCCAACTTCTAATACACCTCATTTTACCTCTCCCAAGTTTTCTCAACCTTCCAAATTCAATGAAAACCTTATTTTGACCTAAAAATAGTTAGAAACCTACCTAATCACTATTATCAAGCTTAAACACATTCAAAACTAAGTTTGACTCGAAACTCAAACTTTATGATCAATATTTTAACAATGATTCGAGGTTTCTACAATCTTTTTATTCATCCTAAGAGAAATATTAATTATTTAATTATAGTACGGTGTTTTACAGTTCCAAGACCTAAGTTGAGAATTTGACAAAAAACTAAAAAGTTCAATACTTAAGAATTAGAAAACCTAAAACTTGGAGTTAATGGTGTCAATCGGCCTATGTCAACTATGTTCACCATGAAAACGGACAACGAAGAACTATTTGGATATATAAACTTGTAGGAAATGACGATATCTTATTTCGAGACTCGGGTTAAGAGTTTAGGGAAAAACTAAAAATTTCAACACTTAAAAATTAGCAAATCTATAAGTTTTTGAAAAATTTGATTAATAATTTGTTTATGTATTATTTTTTCTTTTGTAACATGAATTTTGGATTTTTGCATCAAAGTGACTAACGAAATAACTGTTATGTATCTAAATATTTTGGGAAACTTGTATGTAGATTAACTTGTTGGATATTTTGATGTCTTGTATAACTTTTATTAAGCGTATTCTATTTTGTGTTTTTGTTAGTATGGTATTTGATGTTAGTTTGTGTTAGTTGTTGAATGAAAAACATGTGAAATATATTAATTGTGTTAGTTTTTTATTAAACACAAATATTAGTGGTGTACAAGTGAAAAATTTTATTGGAATATTGTTTTTTATGAAGGGTTATTTAAAAAAAAATATTAACTTTTTTGCGACAAATTAAATTGTCGCGAAATATTGTATGAAATTTTCTTTTTTTTGCCATGTTTTTTAAGCGTCACAAATATCTTTACAAAGTTTTTGGTTCAAACATTTTAGCGACAATTTTTTTTTTATCTCACAAATGTATTTATTTAGCAACACTTTATTAATGTCGCAAATCTATTCAAAAATTTTTTGGATTGAATCGTATAACGGCGTTTCATTATTACGTCGCGAATACCAAAATTTGTTGCAACGTTTATTTTTGCGTCGCGAGCGTGTTTACAAAAAATTTATTTACGATAATTTATTTACGTAGCAAAAAATTAATTAAATAATAATTTTTTATTTTTTCACACAGTGGAACAGATTTTAGCTATGTTTTTTTTTTAATTTTAGTGACTTTTTTTTCACAATTTTTTTTTTTTTGCGATTAAAATAAAATTATGTTGCAAAGTACTTTTTACAATGAGGTTATTACGACGAACACACGACGAAAAAAAAAATCTCAAAAAAAAAATGGCAACGATTTTTATTATTTTAGAGACAAAGTAGAATCGTTGCAAAAATTCTTTTTGCTGTCATCCACATACACACACGGTGTAAAATAGAAATTTTTTGTTTGAAACAACTATCTTGATGCAAAGACTCTTACCAACTCCTGGAATCAAGGGGACTAGACAAATTTTACCAATGGGTTCATAATTGTTATAATTAGAAAGTATACCCAAAAGTTAATATACACACATATATTCTTATATTTTTTTGGGTGGAACCAAGTTTCTGAGTTAGGAAGGACAAAATACTATTAAAAAAATAGAATGGACTTAATGTCGGTAGTCAATATGATAATTTTGAATTTGTCTTACTCAGTTCAAGAATAGAAATTAGTTTTAAAAAGTCAATGGACCATTGACTAACGAAAACAAAAAAGTTTATTACCATTATACACAGTTATAAAAAACTAGGGGAAAAAGTCTTAAAATGAATAAAATCATAGTCCCAAACTATTATCATATAAAGAGATTTTCCAAAAGTGGTGAGCACCCAAAGGTGGGTTCGCCCTTGTGTATATTTAACCGAGGTAGGATTGTATCTAGAAATATATTAGAAAAGACTTATAAAGAAGAAAACAAGAATTCTTTCGTTCAATTACACCCAAATGGGTAAATATAAGTTCTCGAATGTAACTCAGAACAATATACAATAATAATCCACTATACAGTGCTAAATGCATAAAATATAATTCCTAAAAAAAGAAACCAAGTTTATTTGATAACACAAACAACGTCAAAGGGTCACACACGATTCCAATCAGTGAAAAAGCATAATTACCTTGCAACAGGGAAAAAAAATGCACTAGAATGGGGCCACCACGCCCTAAAATCTATAGCGGGTAGCTAACACATCTTGAATTATGGCGTTGGAAGCATACTGTTCAGAGTGTTTCGGGACATACAAAGGGACACATCAAATAATATTGGTAAAAAGCAAGCCATGACAGAGAGAATAAAGATTAACAATACCAAATAAGAAAATGAAAAACAGTTATAAGATTATAGAAAATATAGGCTCACATTAAAAAAAATTGGCACAAGGAACAAAAACATTTCGTGTGGCTTCGTCCTGCCATTCCAACTCATCCCACCACTTTTTGGATCCCCGAATGACTGTTGGATGTTCTTTTGCACTATCAAAGTTGAATGGAAGCCTCTTCAGCTCTGGACACTTAGATACATGGATAGAGTTCAAGAAAGGGAAGGGCAGCAGACTCGGGTAGATGCTCTTTAGCTTTGGTAGACTTTCTAACACTAATATTTCCAATTTTGCAAATGGTTTTGGAATTTTCCCTACCTCGGCCACTTCCATCTGCGCACCTCCACTAATTACTTCTTCCATATTTTCACACCCATTTACATGAAGGGACTTGAGGTTCGGAGCGAAAAGCAGCCATGTTAGGTTTTTCAACCTTGGACAAAAGCTTACAAGTACATTATGCAATCTATGGAAGCATCGCCGGGTTTTGATATGAGAGTTGTGGGGATCATTTGGTGTTTTTATCTCCCTTTGTTCCAATGTCCAATTAATCACAAAATCTTCACAATTAAGAAAGTAATCCAAATGCAGGCGATCTAAACGCTCCATATTCTCCAAAGAAGATATGTCAAAAGACGTGCAATAACGTAACTGCCCCAGGCTTAAAAGTCGAGTGCAACTCTGTAACTTGTGGGAGCTTGAAAGTCTTTGGAAAGCAGTGACATCTTTTATATCCAAACTCAAATCATTCAAGCACTTCAAATCTTCCAGTGTCTCTAACAATTCTTCGTCAAACACAACACTGCGAAACATCTTCAACATTTGCAAAGATGATAGACTTGATATCACATGGAGCGAAATCGGATCAAGGTTGGTTGCATATTCCAAGACCAAACACTTTAATCTTACCAAGTTTTGGAATTCATCTGGCAAATGTCTTATTTTTGTCCAAGATAGGTTAAGATATTGCAACGAAATCAATTTACAAATTTCCAATGGTAAGCTAACTAGTGCAAAATTGTGTGACAAGTCTAGAACCTTGAGAGCATGCATGAATTGGAAGAAGCCACTACTGATCATCTTCAAAGAATTTAAATTCAGAAACAAAGTTGTGAGCTCAGGGCACATTGGTGTTTCTGTTAATTTCTCGATTTTATTCTTCATCAATGACATTCTCTTCACCCCCTTCCATTTTGAAACTTCAGGTGCTCCAGTCATCATCACACCTGCTCGCACCAAAAACCTATCGGGTTGTTTCCCATACTTACATCCAATCCATAATGCCATCTCACGTATCACATCGTGCATTTTTACAGCAAAACTTGAGACCTTGTCCAACAAACATGCATGAAGAAGAGTGCCAATAATGTGATACCCTTGGTTTGTAGCTCTATCATCATTACCATCACATTCTTTCAAAAATCCCTCACCAATCCAATACTCTATTAGTTTTTCTATCGCAATGCATGAGTCTTCAGGGAACAAAGAGCAGTATAAGAAACAATCTTTAACTATGTCACTAGGTAGACTCTCGTAACTGAAATTTAAAGGACCAAACACATCATTTTCCATACCTGGAAATTCCACAGCATATTTCTTCAATACTTCAATTGCATATTCCCATTCTTGGGATGTGCTCTTGCATGCCATGGCTCGACCTACGGTAACAATTGCAAGTGGTAAACCACCACATTCTTTGGCAACAAGTTTAGCTAACTCGGGTATGACTGGATCAGAGTTTAGTGCCACTTCACCAACCTTCAATTGAAACAAAACCCAAGCCTTCTCCCATGGCAAACACTCCACTTTAATCTTTTTTTGAGCTTCCATTTCACCGCATACTTCCTCAGAACGGGTTGTGAAAGCTATCTTAGACTTATTTTGCCCATTTGGAAGTGGAATCCCAACCATTGGGAGATCAATGCGCTCCCATAAATCATCCAACAACAAAACAAACTTTTTTTGGCTCAATACTCCATGTATATCTATAGCTTTCTCACCTAGGCTTTTACTCTTCCATGTCTCGTCCCTCTCGTCATAAAGCCCTATCATTTTCCCGATTTCATTCTGAACATTGTCCATATCATGAGCTTGGGACACCTCTACCCAAATCACGACATCAAAATCATGATCTGTGTTAGCAAACTTATTGTTTATTTGGGTCAAGAGAGTGGTCTTCCCCACTCCTCCTAACCCATATAGGCCAATAAGTCCCACATGTTCTTCTTGAAAATGGCTCCAAATCTTACCAAAAATCATTTCCATGCCCACAGTGGGTTTGCTGGGTCTTACATTAACTGCAGCCGAAGGTAACCTCTTAGCTACCACTTGAAAAACTCCTTTGCTCTGCAAAGTAGCCACATCTTCGATCTTTTTGGCTACTTTCTTCCCCAACTTGTACCGAGAGATGTAATTACTCTCAATCACCTGAGTGCTATTTTCTATCAGTTCATTTACTTCGGTTTCCATGGATTCCACCAGCAAAAGCCACCCTTGTACTTGGTCCAGCCGCTTCATCATCGGTTGCCTCTCAGTGACATCAACCTCTCTCTTCACGTCATTCCTGAATTCCTTCAATTCTTGCAATGCAATCCTCAATATATTCAAGTTTTCCTCAAATCTGCTTACATAGTGGACTAGTGAAACTGTGCAATCACCCCAGCGAGAGATCAAGTCATCAATTGAGAGAGTAATGGAGCACAAGTTTCCCATGCTAAGCAAAAGTTTCTAGCGCAAACAACGAAGAAAAATGTATATGGGGGGCTAGGTTTGGTAAGGCACAACAAGACTACTTTGTGCCTTCTTTATGTATAAATTAAGAGCAATTGAGCCTGGTCTGGTATAGTGCAGCAAGAGCAGAGCAGTTTGGGCCTCGTGCAGTAGAGAGGCGATCAATTTAGCCACATATTCTACCATTTTTTGGCATGCTGCTATTGTAATCCCAGTAGCACATATTCCACCAGAAAAGAAATAAGTCGCCAATTTAAAATTGCTAGTGGAAATGACCATTTGTCCAACCATGTGATACCCACTTAACCAATTTAATTGGTAGTGGAAATAACAAAGAGAAATGTCTGAAAATTTGTTAGCAGGTATCCAGCCATGTGACACTACTTACGCAATTTTTTTAGCAAATTTTAAGAGGAAAATACAAATTTGAACAAAATTTGAGACCTAACATGAAGACTCAATCAATTGCAGTAATTGAACTATAAGTAAGTTTCATCGAATTTTAAAACTCACAACTACTCAAATGTCTACAATGAATTTATTTTCTGATTTGTATAGTAGAACCAGCTTTTTGAAGCCTGGCTTCCATAGCCAAAACTCACACTAGATAACTGGAATACATTCACAAATTTTTAAAGTTCAGTCTCTAAAAACGTCTACTCTACTCTTGCATGAGCTGGGAATTCAGAAGCCCTTGAATACAAAAACCCAGCTCCAATAGTACAAATTCTTACCCATGTGCATTGAGAAAATCAAATCCCATAATCAATCTCTTTGCACAAAGTTAAAATTGCATACATATGATTCTCTTTTTACCCCAGTATTACAAAAATCTCTTGTATCGTACTCATTTTTTTTCTCTAAGAACCCATTCAAGTTCCAAATGGGTGAGAAATCTAACTAAAAACCCATTAATATCAACAAAGAAGCTCTCAAAAAGCATGAAGAACCTAACAGGTTTGGTATTTTACTCGATGAGAACCCCACCCTCTTTTACCTGTTCCAATAGGTCTCTCTCAAATTAACATAAATTTCTTTTGTAAGTTCATCAAAAGGGTGGTTTGGAAAGTAGTTTCCCTGCCTTTGACAAATTTCAAAGTGCTTAGAATTGTTCAAGTACTACCTATTTCGCTCTTTTAATTTTTTCTCTTGGCCAGCATAAGTTTTTCTGAGCTTCCCCTTGTGTACAGTAGCATGGACGAGCTCCCTGGTGGCAAAAGGGGCCATGGCCCCCCTAAGTTTTCCACAATCACTATATATCCCTCTTTAGATTTTAAAAATTATTATGTCTCCCTCTTAGCTTTTCAAAAGTTCTAATATATGTCTATATTGCATTTCATATATTGTATTAAAAGCTCACGGCCTAACAATTGATAACTTAATAGGCAATAGTTTATCTTATAGATGAGTGTTGATGAAGACAAGCTTGGATGAGTTTGACTATAAAAAATAAAAAATAAAAAGAAGTAAAGTTTTTAAAAGATCGGACTATAAACCTGACTTATATCACCAACAATATAGTGACTCATGATAAATGAAACTAATCTTTTTTAATGGTAATTCATTCATACACATTACATTCCTATCATCAATGAGAGAATAGTGGATCCCCATAGTGTCATAAAGTAATTTTTATATGAAAAGTGTGAATTAATTTTGAATCTTATTCTCCAATCTAACTTTTATGATGATATCATATTCAAGTTAATTTTGATAAATAATATGCAATTAAAATTTTAACATTAATGATGACATGCTGATAATTCTAGTAAATACAATTTCTGATTGTGCCACTATTTGGCTCACCTTATCGTAAAATCCTAGTTCTGACAATAGTATATATTTGCATGTACATAACCTTAGTTTTTTTATATATTAAATTGCGCATACATCACCTTAGAAACATATTATCATATAGTTTGGATTGATATTAGAGTTACTTGTACATTTTTATATACATAAATCTTGTATTTATATAACACTAATAAGCATTTACATTATATTTACAACACAACAATCAAACATGTTTTTTGTTTTGCTAATTTTTTATTCAAATTTAATATTCAAAAAATGTTTCCAAGTGTTATCAAGTGGTGATAAGGCCAAGGTTGAGATGACTCCAGGATAATAGTGACATCAATTATAATAGTGATGAGATGATAATAATGACAACAATAATTATGATGACATTTCATCCACACACAAAGAAAAACAAGTCTGAGGAGAGTTTCCTAGTAATTGGCATTGATAGAAACTAAATGATTATAGTTTCTATCGATGTAAGAATTTCTAGTACATTTATATATACATATGTCTTGTATTTATATATTATGCTAAGAAGGTGGTGAAGATGACTCCATGATAATAGTGACATCAATTGTAATAGTGAGGAGATGAAAGTAATGACAACAATAATATGTTTCATCCACACATGAAGAAAAACAAGTCTCAAGGGTGTTTCCTAGTAAGTAACATCGATAGAAATATATTATCATATAGTTTCTATCGATGTAAGAATTTCTTGTACATATATATACATAAGTCTAGTATTTATATATTATGCTAATATGCATGTACATCATATTTATTTAAAAAAACATCAATCATGTTTTTTATTTTGCTAACTTTTAATTCAAATTTAAATATTCAGAAAATGTTCCCAAGTGTTATCAAGTGGTAATAAGACGGCGGTGACTACAACAAATTTTTTTTTTAGCTACAAGTTTTGGTCACAAACAATAAAATTTATTGTAAAAAAGTTAATTTCGACAACAATTTCAAATGTTTTAGTAAACTTTTTTATGTTATTTTTGGTGACCATTTTTTGTAGTCGTCGCCAATAGTTTTCGCAAAAACATTCCCTCCAAAAACAAATTGGCGGCAATGTTGGTGCTAAATGCTAATTTTATCGGCGACAAAAAAAATTGTCTTCAAAATAAATTTTCGGCCCCAAAATTTTTGTCAAATAACAAAAAATAAGAAAACAAAAATAATAATAGTTAGCGACAATACATGTTTTTCACAGAAAAGAAAAATTAAATTTTTTTTTTGTTTGGCGATAATTTATATTTGGTCGTAGAATATCACTACAAGAAAAACATTTTATTGAGACAACTTTTTGCGATGTGTAAGAAAAATAGTTGCAAAAAAAAGACATTCTACGATAAATATTATGTTTCGCTGCAAAAAAAAAATTATAATGATTTTCCATGATTGAAGCACTATAGTGAATTTATTTTTATTTGTTACATGTACAATAGTAATCATAAAATGTCACTCTTTATAAATGATTTTGTTTGGCAATGAGTAGGCTTGTCAAAATCTGACACGACACAATTAATTGACACGAATCAATACAAATTAAGCGAGTTTTGGTGAAATATTAACGGGTCGTATTTGAATGAGACATGTCAAACCATTTGTCATACGTTTACCCGTTTAAATAAAATTAATATAATAATAAATTAATAATTATTTTTAAAAATTAGCCATAAAAAAGATATAAAGAAATCAATACAAAAAAAAAGTAAAGCAGTAGTTCAAAGACAAAAGGAGGGGAGATAGAGTGATGGAGAGCAGTTCAAAGACAAAGGCAAATCAATGTCTTTTGTTCTTGTCCCACGTCGGCAAATGAGGTGAGATGGAAAGGGCTGACTTTCCAATAAAAGGCAGTGGCCTCTTACTTTTTTTTTTTTAGCCTTAAAGTTTGATTTTTATGTCAGATTTGACTAAACATTTCTCTTTTTTTGGGTTAATACAATTAATAGTAAAAAAAAGTAGAACAATAAAAGTGGAGTATTAAAATTTGTTGGTATAATTTTTTTAAAATTAAATTGGTTAAACGAGTCGTATTATGTTTTATAAAATTTGTTCATTTGTTATTTGACGTCAAAAATATGTTAGTTGCAAAAAATATACCCTGATTTTCAGTGACAAATATTATGTCATTACCAAAGAGAAAAAATATGACCATATTATAACTTTTTTCAGTGACGAAATTTTTTTGTGACAAGTAGATACTTTTTTAAGTGAATAAGTTTTTTTGTCACGGATAATCTAATTTAGCGACGAAACTTTAGTTGGTTATCAAAAATTTTCAATGGCGAGTCTGCCACGACAAATTGGCAATCAAGTTTTTTTGTCGCAAAAAACTTTTAGCAGCGAATTACTCACTTTTAGCAATGACTTTTTTTGCCACTAAAAAACATTTTTCTTGTAGTGTAGCTCCGTGATAATTGATAGACCAGGCTCAACTCATGTTATAAAGATCCATATTCAACCCAAAAGAGTTAACACCCGGTCAAGCTCGCCAAGGGAGTAAGTAGGGTCTCCAAGAGCCTTCTCCTAACCACCTTGGAGTAAGAGTCATCCAAGAGTCTCCTCCTAACCACCTTGAAGCAAGGGTCATGAGCCTTCTCTTAGCCAACTTGGAGTAAGGGTCATCCAAAAGCCTCCTCCTAGCCACCTTGGAGTAAGGGTCATCCAAAAACCTCCTCCTACACACCTTGAAGTCAGGGTCACCCCAAGAGCTTATTCCAAGCCACCCTGGAGTAAGACCATTTCAAGAGTCTCATCCACGCTGCCTTGGAAGAAGTCAACCACCACCTCATCATTTGACTGAACTTATGGAGAACACCGTAACTACCTCATCCGTTGAGAAGAAGTCACCGATTCTACCAAATTAGCTATGTAGTTACTATTAAGTCGCCCCAATCTATGAAGAGACGACTATAAATTGTAAGTCCTACCAACACTTGGGGGGCAGATCACATTCAACTGAGCACATCTCTCTTCTCCCTCTCAAAACTTGTAACTCTCTGCTATCCATATACACTTGAAGTAACAAAATATCTGACAACCCTGGCCATTTAAAGTGGACGTAGACCACGTTGACCGAGCCACTATAAACCTTATCTCACTTGTGTCTCTTTTAATTATTGCATTTATTACTGCTTATCTGACGGATGTTGTGCAAACTTAAT